AATTTACAGCTGTAGTCTAGGTCACTTGTACAGTCACCGCTTGTCAAAGCATCTTGTCGGCCACCACCAAAGCTCCACACGCTTGGAGGCCAGAGTGGCGCTGACGCCGAGAGAAAATGGAAGAGCGAATACTGTGACGGGCCTTCGTCAGCGCAGGGTTTCAAACCTTATGCGCAGGAGTTTGTTACCCCATGAAATTAATTGGTTCCCCGGCACAAGATGTGCGGCATGCCCAGTACGTGGTCTGCGAAACCCAAAGGCAGCAGGGGGTAAGCTACAGGCATGAAGGTGCCGCACCTGGCAGGCGAGAAGTGCGCCGCTTGCCAAGTGCGACTTAACCGTTCCTTCAAATCCTTCGTTCATGTCACACTAAGAATCCTACGGAACAGCTTGGGTTTAGGGTTTCGGGTTTAGGGCTCTATGGAAACACAAGTTCGATGGGATCACAAGTTTGATGTCATCAGCTACTGGTGTAGCTAAACTTGAATTCAAAACAAGCAGTTTGCAAACACTAGCTGCATGGAGAAAATCAATTACAGGAACTAACTTCGATCAACGAATATGCAAATACCCTAAATTTGCTACGGCTGTTCGTACTTGCCAGTAGGAAAAGCATCTAAACCCTCAACCCAAAAAACCTTAAACCCTAGGCTCTAAACCTTAAACCCTCCTGTGGGATGTTCAGTCCTGTTTCACGCCGACTTCGCACCATGGACCTCGCCTGGCATGTCCGAGTTGTGAGAGCATAAACTCTCAACCCTCAATCCCACACAAGTAAACCAGGCATGGTGAGATTTCGTAATCTGGGAGTTTCTGAAAATAATGGGGTACCTTATTTTGGGGTCCTTATAATAAGGATCCTACTATTTTGGGTACTATATTAGGGGTCCCCGATTTTCGGAAACCCCCATCTCTACTCTGGGAACTCTTGGCCACTTGGAGCTGACGGTGCGAACGCTTAGCCTCGCTTCCCCTGAGAGTTTTGCGCAGGGCGTCCTAACATCCAATCCTATACTATACTATACTATACTATTCTATTCTATACTACACTATACTATACCAAACTATACTATTCTATACTACACTATACTATATTATACTATACTATACTATTCTATACTACACTATACTATACTATTCTATACTACACTATACTATACTATACTATACTGCATGTCCTATGTCCGGTCGCAGTGGCTCTGTCCGTCCGTCTACCTGTCTCACGATTAGATGTTGGTGTGTCGCTTCGCATGACAGGTCTGGTTGGCGCTTGTGTACGAGTATAAGTGCGAAAATTAAAAAAAAACAGTTGATGACCATGGCCGGAGCTGCACCTGAGCATTTTAGCCACTAGTACCGGGCAAGCCACGCATACCAGCCGACAGGGGACAGCGCGACTGAAGACGGGTAGGAGGAAACTAAAACCCTAAACCCTTATAGCACCCCTATAGTACCCTTATAGTACCCTTATAGTACCCTTATAGTACCCTTATAATACCCTTATAGTACCCCTATAGATCCCTTAAAAGGGATTTCAAGCCCGGTGGAGTCCAGGCGCCTCGGGGAGTTCAGCACGCAGCAGCTGGCAAATATGCGGGCTCCTAAGAGCTGCGGATACATAGCTCTGCTTGTGGGTGCTGTGACATTTTGGATTCAAGGGCCTATAGCTTGGCTTTTGCTGGACTGTTACTTCATCCTGAAAATGACGCTTCCTAGAGGTTTCTACAACCGATCCCGCTCTCGCAAGACCTGCTGACGACGGTTCTTAGGCTTTGGGGTTTCGACCATGCAAACTATGCCGATACCAGCTTCTTCTCCACGATGGCTCAGCGCTCAGAGCGGACAGGGGGAGAAAGCCCGACACCCTCCAATCTACTAGGATCTGTTGCACGAGACTTTCACTTTCACTCTTCCGTTTGTGGCAACAGTGGCTGTCGCAACGGAGCGAGACAAGTGCCTGGCTCGTTCGAGCTTGCTCCAACACTGCTTGCTGATGCACACTGTTACGACGGAGCTCGGGCCCAACCTCGCCGTCTTATCCCGACAGTGGAGCGACAGCACACAACAGGAGACAGCTGCATGGCAGGGAAGCCCATGCTGTCCACTAGCCTTTGCTTCGTGAGGTGCAGTGGTGCAGCTCGAGACCAATGACCTTCTGGCAGAAGGTGTCTCAAACTCTTTGAGAGGTTTGCCCATATCGGTCACACAGAGATCTGTATGTATATATATGTATATATATATATATGGATATATGGATATATGGATATATGGATATATGGATATATGGATATATGGATACATGGATATATTTGTTATGTACACACAGACACACGCGCACACACACACACACATATATATATATATATGTGTGTGTGTGTATATATATATATATACACAGATATAGATATAGATATAGATCTATTTATGTACACACAGACACCCGCACGCACAGACACCCAAACACACAGACACAAAAACACACTCACAAACCCGAACCCAAACCAAAACCTAGCCCCAGACCCAAACGAAACGCAAACACAAGCACAGAGAGAGAGAGAGAGAGAGAGAAATTCTTTCTCATCTTTACTATCCCCCTCCAAAACGGACGGGGGCGCGACAGCGCGCGGGCTAGGGGAGCTTCCCCCATCCGTTACCCTGGCGAGAAATAAGAAAACATTCTTTCCCAAAGGATGGTCGCACACATGCTTGGCAACTGAATCAGGACGGTGATGAATACGACAATGAGATGAAATTTTTGTACCATGTATGCCAAACCAGGGAATGACATACACAACCAAGATGAGATGATCCGTGAGAGTATGGGTCGTGCCCTCGCTGTTTGAGACACGAGCGAATCAACCAGCACGAGATGAGATGGAGATGAACATGCTGGTCGCGCTCATGGTTGGCAACATGAAAGAGATGATGTTGATGATGGTGAAGAAAGAAAACGACAATGAAATGGAAGTTTTTGCACCTTAGGATCCAGGCGCCCGCGAAGCGGCTACGTTTCCCTGGTGTGTGGGGGGGAGCGTCGTTGGACGGAGCTCCCCTACCCCCCCTTCGTCCGCCTGCAAGATGAAGAAACGACATGTAAAGAGCCGTGACCCCCCATAGCCTATGAAATAGGAAAGTTCGCACACACACACAGACAGAGACGAACGCAAACATACCATACACATCACCAATCAGTCAATCATTCCACTTGTATGTGTTTTCACGGAGTGGCGGTCTATTCGTTGAGCCCTCGGACATGGCGTTCCATGGCTACCTGCTGCCCTGGTGCGTCGGAGTGGTGGACATCGTATGGAGGGCCGTCGAACTTGCAGCTGTCCGGCTGCTTACACGGCGCGATACTATGGGTCCTCATATGTTGATGTTGGAGCGGTGCCACTTCTCGTGACAGATGCAGACTTGCAGGAGCTCTTAGGTGAGGTGCACCGTCTTTTCCGCAGTATGCTTACAGATCACGGCATTTTTTATTCTAGAATCTGCATCTGACTGCGTTCTTCATCGGCCGGCATAACTGAAACTGTAGAGCCCGGCTTCAAAAAATCGTTCCACTTGCACTTGTTCTGCCCAGTCCGTCTAGCTGCTTCGAGTCATGTGTAGGCAGCTGGAGAGGAGCTGGTCTCGGCCGCGGGCGCAGACTCGTCCGTTTTGTAAGCTGGGTCGCTCGATGTAGTCGGACGGTTTTCGGAAAGTTAGGGTCTGTTTCAGTTGGGCCGGCTTGTCTTGTTAGGATAGCACTCGAGCCCAGGTCATGACGGCGCTGCGCCCCTACGCATCAGGGTCACCTGCTTGGAAGGAGCTCGAGGCAAGTGGGTGTGAGTGGGTCTTTGGACGATGCCGGCAGGCTAGGATTTGAGTTGGCACCTACCCTTCCAAGTTTAGCCGGGTGTCAGTCATTCTTCTCGCAGAACTTCTTCGTGAACGAAACTCTGCGGCCATTGGCGAAGTTCCTCTGCACATCCAACAGCTCAGATGGCTATGTCCAGGCAGGGCAATTGGTGATCCGCCCATTTTGCACAGTTGTGCTGCAGTTTCGCAGCTGGCAGCACAGGGCCTTCGTCAGCTTCGGACCTACCACGCTCAGTGCTCAGTGGCACTGTTCCGTACGGCAAGTTGCAGACAGTCGGTTGCGGGCAAATGAATGCAGCAGTGCCGATTGCAATTGCATGAGACTTTATTGGTAAATTCCAGGCAGGTGCCCTCTACACCTCATGGCTTTTCGAGCACATCGGTGCGCTTCTGCCTGTTGCATGCCTCGTTGAACCTGTTGCCTGGCGCTGGAGCATGTGCGCATGGCACGCCCGCTGCTGTAGACTCTGACGGGGCCGGGGGGGCCGTGCCACATGTCGAGCACTTCCAATCATGCCTTGCCGCCAAGCACACTTGTTTCCGTCATGGTAGTTCAATGTTTCCGCGAGCAAGAGAGACAGGCAATTCTTGCACCTGCAGCTTTCCGACGAGCCATGGTGTGGCAGTTGCTGCCACTCCATGCGCTCGATGAAGAAGTTGTGCCACTTCCCTGTGACGGAGATGCCCCCATCGGGCCGGCAGTTTCTCTGAAGTAGCGGAGTTTGAGCCGACGGGGCAGGGCTTTCAGCGTCTTGAGAGAGAGCCCGGAGGCGGCGCCCTAACAACTTCCTCGTGTGTCCTCATCTTGCAGCAACCTGGCGGCAGAGCGCATTGCACATTGCACCACCCTAATTCTGTGGCTTCGTTTTTTTTGCTATTCTGCCGCTCAGGTGAGTGGGACTCACTGCATTCTGCACTGCAGTGCTGGCCGCCCTCCTGAATTTGAGGCACGAGATGCTGTACAGCATTCTTCCCCAGCCTCCCTTGAAGCACGCGTGCGCAAGCGTGAGAAACTTGGGAGGACTGCAGCACGAACGGCAGCTTCGTGAACGACAAGAAGCTGCAGAAGGGCCAGAGGTGTCGTCTAGCCGATGGAGACATCCTTTCCCTCACCAAACCACTCGATGCAGAGGCCCGAGGCAAGGGATGACAGCTCTTCTGCTCCGAAAAAGAGCCACGAACCGCAGACTAGCTGCCATGCTTGCTTTGATTATCTCTGCTGTAGTCTTTTCAATGCCCCTGTCTGTGGTTCCTGCGCTCTGTCATGTCTTTGTAGCAAGCTCGGACCGTACCCGCCATGCCTGCCTTGCGAGTGTCTGAGTCGAAAAAAAGGCAGAAGCTGGGCATGTGAGGTCGAGGCGAAGGATGGGGTGGAGCCGGGCCCTCGCATCCAGTACAAGCTGGTCTTCCATGGAGAGCTCGAAGAGCCCAAGGAGGATCTCGGCTCTTTGGCACAGACATTGGCAGCCTTTAGGACTGTAGGGGGGGGGGGGTTTGGGGGGTTTAAGGGGTTTGAGGGGTTTAGGAGGTTTAGGGTTTAGGGGGTGCAGCTTGGGTTCTTCGGTGGACCTTCCCGGACGTTTTGCAACGGTGCAGGTGAGATTCCGGCAACGGCGCCTGATGCAAAGCGACCTGATGCGGTGGCACAGGGGGAGAACCGCTTTGCCCATTATTTGTCAATTCAGGAGCGCTTTGAAACTGGTGCTTGCATACGAGGTCACTCGTTTAGTTGGCTCCTCAGCAGATGCCAGGAGCAGCAGAGCAAAGCAAAGCTCAAAGCTGACCTGCTAGTCTCCAAGCTGGACTTCAGTAGAATTCCGATCAAAGCCGCCTTTCGTTTACGCTCGAAAGGTTTCCCAGCGCGAGCTGGATGAAGAACGTCAACGCGAGACTCGGCTGCGGTTGGAGTTTTACATTGGCGTTTGCACACCTCCCGTGTGGCCTGATTGTTTGCTCGTTCTGGGTGGTGTGGGTGTTTGCTGTGCTTCGTCTCAGGTTGAAAATCTCAGCCTAGAGCTGCGCAAAGTCCGCCAGCAGGCCAGCATCTGTACTTGGTGCTTCACGTCGTGTATCATCACCCAAGAGCTTAACCGTTCGGCCTGACCACTGCCAGCCTAAGCCATCAACCCAAAGTCTAAAGTCCCGGTCTTCCTCTATTGCTGTTGTTAACAAATCTCGGATAGGGCCAGATCATGGGATTGCCAAAGGCCTTGGCACAAGGTTCCAAGTGGAAGGGAGTGCCTTCAACAGAAACACTCAGGTAACCCCGTCGCAGTAACCCAGGAAGTCTCCTCCACCGTTCAAATTCGCCCAAAGCTCGTGGGAAAAGAACCCGTGGCCAGGCCGAGGAGGAGCGGCTTCGACGCGAGGAGCGGGGCCTCAAAGCGGAGGGGAACGACCTCCTCCGGTGGTCCCAAAGAAGCGGCTCTGGTGCGTGTTTTAGGGTGCCAGGAGAAGTCGAATACTTCGAGTGCAGGGATGCGCGGGGATGTGGATGTGACGTGATGCGATGAGTCGACCTGCAGCAGCGAGTTGACTTGCTGCGAATCTTCGAAAGCCTGCGAGGAGGCCGAGGAAGCCCAGGACAAGCTTGGTGAGGAGGTGGAGGCGCTCCGGGTAGAGGCAGGGTGGAGTTCTTGGGCCACCGCTTTGGCCCTCAGAACGTTCAGCTCGTCTGTCCCGAGCAGGCACGCCAGCTGAAGGAGCTAACCGTCGCACACGAGGAACTTCGAGGACGTCACGCAACTTCTGAAAAGGACAGCGGGGTGCGACTAGAGTCAGAGGAGGAGGGTTTTTGCAAAATTGGAGTGTGGAACTGCGCTTCTTGGCTCAAGGCTTCTGGGCCTGAAAATGAGAGGAGCTGGCCGAGCGAAGCCGGCAATGCGAGGATCTCGAGGCGCAACTTTGCAACGGTTCGAATCTTTCTTCAGAGACGGCGAAGAGGCTGATCTGATGCAAAACAGCGCTCAAAGGTTCTGTTCATAGATACACGCGAAGAGTTTGTGCATGGGAATTTCTTCCCCGAGTCGATCGGCTTGTAGCTGTCCCAGCACGGATAAGGCACAGTAGTAAGAGGAGTAGAAGGATTGAAACCGATGCCTCTCTCCGCGACGAGGCTCAGCAGCAGCAGTTGCGTCAGGACTTGACACTGGCTGGCGAGGCAGCATCGCTCACAGCGTGAACCGTAGCTTGCATATGCAGGCTTCAGGTCACAGGCTTTCCAGAGCCACGCCAGGCACAGCAAAAGTTGCGACAGCAACTGGCTGAGCTGCAGGTCTGCGCCAAGCAAGTGCAGGACAAGAGCAGTGGCATCAGTTGGGCTATCAGTCACGCACAGTGTGCACGCAACGCTTTCTTCTAGGCTGGTGCTTATACAACAGAAGCCGAATGCATTTAGCTTGTTTAGTGCCTTCCAGAGAGGTATCAACTAAACTCTGAGTGAACAGCATGAACAACCCAGGCTGCAACATTTTTTTTTTGGCTCTGGCCCCCTTCTGGCTCTGGCCCCACCTGGCTCCTTCTAATCCAGGGATTTCTCAGGCCTGCGTGGGAGGACGGAAAGAGCCCCCGAAAACACTCCGGAGATCCTTCGGAGGAGTGGGCGGAAAGGCTGATTCGGCAGCAGCAGCTCGAGGCTGAGCAGGATGCTGAGCGCGCAAGCGAGGACTCCGGACACGGCACATAGCACAGCATCATGCAATGCAATGCCGCAATGATGATCGGTAGTAATGAGATACATGCACACAGGAGATACTCGCAGATTTACAATGATATATCCAATCCACAGAGATACACGCATACGTGCATACATGCGCACGCACGTACGCACATCCAGACATCCAGCACGACAATATGGTGGTCACACCGAAATCGGCTGCTCAAATAATTTTCATATCCAGGCGGCTGATTGATGTCGCCGAGACACAGGGAAAACACAAATCACTCGTATTTCAAGATGTGCAGAAAGCCCTTGACGAAGTGGACCAGCAGCAGCTAATTGAAGTTCTGAAGCGTCTCCATATGCCGTCGAATACCATACGAACAATTGGTATTGACATGACTTAGATTTAGACTTGATGCGATCTGTCATACACGCATTGATATTGATTCACTATGGTATGTATATTGAAGTAAAACAAACTCAGACATCAGTCGCAAGTTCCAGTTTTGGTAATACTGCAGAATACGTTACACGTCAGTCCAACGTCATATAACAAAGAATCGTATTGCTATATGATTCTGAATACTATATAAAGAATATGCAGAACTTGGCTGATATGTTAATGGATTCTTTCTTACCGTTATTGTTTTACATCAAGAATGTTAATATTTGTTTCTATTCTGCTACGGTACAGAATAGTATATGATACAATAAAGCCCTACTGCTTATTGTATACGCCATATCATGTTGTATCTTATTCTGTTTGGTAACACTATGTTCTATTGCAATGTCACACTAGATTACTATTAACACAGCACAAAAACATTCACACAAAACTATATATATATATATATGTGTATACACTATAGTATAGGATAAATATATTATGTTGTATTGCATTACATTCTTGTTTTAAATTTTTTCAACATCCACAAACACCTGTGCTGCTGCAGGGTTTCTTAGTATTAAAAGTAGCATTGGTAGCGTGAAAGGTAGCATGACAGCTTTGTAAACCTATATGCCGTTATATGCCGGTAGATGTTTACATCTTTAGTCTTTCGTCTTATTCCGGAACAAGGCAAACTTTTGGCTTTCAGCATCGGCACTTGGGGGAGTCTCTGGAACGAAGCACTGAGACTTCGAAGGAGGGCCAGCGTCTCCAGGAGGAGCTCCAGGTGGGCACAGGCCCCTTCCCTGTGCCGGGAGAAATCCGGGCCCTGAAACTTCAGGTCATCGCTTCAAGCCGCGAGAAGCTGGAGGCGGATGTGTCGGCAAGCAGAGAAGCTCTCGCGAAGGCACAGGGGCTTCGACCAAAACCCTTGCTGTTTCGCACGCTCTTCGCCATGGTGTTGTCGCAGGCGGAGGCAGATGAACGAAGCGCGCGTTCGAAGCTGGACGATGTCACAGCCAAGCGAACAGAGCTGGAATGTCAGGCGGCAGCTGCGCAGTCCGATGCCGAGACAAAGAGGAATCTCGCTTTGTCCGAACGATTTTTTTTGGTCCAGCCGGTCCACACTATCATTAGTTCCCAGTAGACACCACCAGCAGAATACTGATAAAGAGGAGGAGATGGAGTCGGTGCTGTAGGTCGTAAGTGGTGCTAGTAGCAACAGCGATTAGGAGTACAGGTGGTACTTGGTAGCAAGAGTAAGAGGATGAGCGAGAGTGGTAGTAGTTGTAGTCCCAGTCGTGGTCGTCATGATAATCGTCGCTGCACTGCCAGCTCGTTGTAGTCGTAGTGGTGGTCGGGGTAGGTGGGGAGACGGAGGACACGCCCTACTGCAGCAGTAGATCTGCGCGACCGCGAGAATGGTCGTTGTGGCTGCCATTTAGGAGTTTCAGGAAATTGCGGACCTACTATTCGCGCTGAGCAGCAGGATGTCGATGTTGTAAGGAGCTAGGAATAAGGTCTCCCAACTTCCCGTCGAAGGCGTGTCACTACGGATTCAACAATAGGAAGCACCATGTCCCTCCAGGAATGCGTTCAAGGTCGCTGAGCAGCGCTCTGCCACAGCCCGGGCCTTGCTCACGCAACTTGGTGAGGTGGGCAAAGGCCTCTCCAGCGAACCGGGCCGCAGGCAGGGTCCAGGGGAAAGTTGAGTTCAGACGTGCTTTCAAGGACTTTGCGACTGATGTGGATATTCCAAGCTTCGCTACATGCCTGACTGTATGAGTGAAGTGCATCCTCCAGGCTGGAGCTGTGGGACGAGGTTCTCCAGGAGGGCCTTCCTGGCGCTGCCAAACCCTTGGAAGAGGCCCTGGCGGCGACCTGTCGCGAGGCCTTGGGCGTTTCAAAACATCCAAACTGCAGGGGATGCTGTACTTGTGGCTAAGATCTTCCATTGGGTGGGAACTGGCGTTGCGAAATTGGGTGGGACGTCAAATAGTGGCTCAAGGATGCACCCAAGAGCCCAGCTAACCTCCGGCTTTGTCTGGAGCATTGGTTCAGTCTGATGTTTGACATGCACGTCGAGCGATAACAGGTGCACCTTGGAAAGGAGGCAATGTCAGCTCGAATGAGTCTCATGGACACAGAAACTTCCGCACAGGAGCCAGTTCCAGATGGTCAGCTGCGAGTCCGAGATTCCGAGCTATCCTTGCAGGAATGTGAGAAGCCGCGGCAGGACCCCCACGTTGGCTTTTTCGGGGATGTTTAGTGCAGGATACTGCAGGGACGTTAGACAGCCGTTGCAACCAGCCGAAAAGTTTTGGGCTAAAGGAGCCACTTCTTACAGCACAGCCCACGGTTGCCGCCATGGAGCTTGACGACGAGGACAACGGAAGCCACGCAGAATGTGACATTGCAGTAGCTTCTAGTCATTTCTGAGGACAAGCATGGGGCGCCTTTGGCGCAGCTCGCCCAAAGCTTCGGTGAATTGGGATCCTCTGAGCCGGGGCTGTTCTGAGGTCGGAACCTCCGCCCACGGTTCCGCAGGCCGAGAATGTGCCTGGACTGCAGTTGATGCAGCCTTTGCAGCGTTTTGAAGCACTGCTTGTCCAGCTGCAGGTTGGCCTTTCAACCGCATCCTGGCCGCATACCCCGTCCTGCTTAAATGAGTTGTCTCGGGATGGCGTGTATGAATGCACATGACTTCTCGACTTCACAACCCAATTTATGAGTTTTTGTAGCGTTCCAATTTCAATACTCTGTGTCATTGTCATCAAAAGACAACAGCCAAGCACGTTGTCTTTCGGGCTTCTGCTATCCTTGTCCCACGACTACTGCTATAACAACTGCGAACACGGCGGCAACGAAAATTGCTACTGCGACGAAGATGGCGCCGCAGCGTGCAGCCTTGGCATCCTTTCTTCATTCTCGAATACGATCTGCAGCCCCGCCTTCTGCAAGGCATGGAGCCTCGAAGTCTTGGACGTGGAGTCGGCGCCGCCGCGGAAGAAGCTCCGCCATGACTGAGGGCCAATTTAGTTGACGCTCGCACAAAGCAAACGCAGTACTGTTTCCGAATCCTAGCCGCCTAGCCATGTGAAATAGGAATTTCAATGCGTTGTCATGACTTGGGAAAGCAATGGACTCCGTGCCTGAATGTTCAGACTGCAAAGTTGTGGGCAGATGCAGAGGCATCTTTCAACCCACGCACTCCCAACAGACGGGACGGCACTAAACAAGAGTAGTGTTAGTAATGACCAGCATTAGTTACTATTCATTCTAGCATGCGAGTCCCCAGGAGAGATTAGGGACTAGTACGAGTGACGAGGCAGGCCAACCCCTTAAGCATAGGCCCATAATTCGATTAACATCTTTCCCCCGAGCACCATGTCCAAGTTGCTGTTATAGGCTATAGGAGGTTTGCAATTTAGCAGAAGCTTTGGGGCGAGTGTCTTCAAATGCGCGAGTTTCTGGTTGCTGTTGCTGCGGATCCCCACTGAGATGCTAGGTAAAGAGAGGTACATCTGTGCACCCAGTCTGAACGGTTAGTTGGGTTGCATGTGAACACAACGGCAACCGGTGGCTAGCTCTGCAACTTTGTTCGACGTGCGTGCAATATGCACTGATCGGGCATGTACAGCTGTGGGTGGGAATACAGTAGCCTGAAGTTGCTATTGAAGAGAAAGAAGATCGCAGGTATTTGTGATTTGTCGTTGCAGGAAGCTCCATCTAAGCATTGCAGGTATCAACTTCCTTGGAGATGCCAACGATGCCCGTGCTGCGCGAAAAGTTGAAGATTTGGCTCGGGGCCGATTTTCACGCAAGGCCTGCACCCAGAACGCGCTCTTCGTTTCTTTGACCAATAGGTGCAGTTCTACATCCTGCCACCGGAGCCACGCTGGCTTCCGGATGGCTACGACGACGATGACGTCCAGGTTGCTTTATACATGTACCACAGTTGCAGGTTGCTGAGTGCAGAACATATAGGAGGCGTTGTGGTGGGCTTGCCTTTCTCTATGTCTTTTCAAGAAGTTCGGGAGGGTCACCAACGCTCAGCGCGGCCACACGATACAAATGTTTGAGCGTGAAGCCGCTGCTGTGGACTCGCATCGTGACGAGGCCAACCGTGCTGAGATTCCCAGCCTCCTCGAGCTGCTGGATATCAAACGCCGGGCAGCATCCCCGAACTGGGAATGTTCTTTGCGTCCCGAGCCGGCAAACATACCGGAAGCTGTAGGTGCAGCCCTCCAGTCATTTCATTGCCATGGCCTCAGTCCTCTTTCGCATGGCGCCGCCATGGTTGATTGACACATCATCATTGAAGCATGCAGGAAGGTTTGTCTGGACCTGGTCATCTAGCCCAGTCCAGCCACTACTGAAAACAGGGTTTCGGTTGAGGAATCGAGGCTTTCAGCAATGGCATGGAGGGACCGTGCGAACACGGAGTTATCGCACCAGAGGCGTGGATTGTTAAGCAGCACAATCTCTGTTCACTGATTTGGTTCTGGACTCCCAGGCCAAAGTATCTGACACGCATGAGCAGAGGCCCTGCACCTCTCAGCGGAGCTGTGGATTGACGGTCCGTCGCATGGTGCAAGCCGCAGCTGGGCCGCAGTGGCCAGCGACGGGCTTGTGGCGAGAGTGAATTTGTGCTTGAACGAACACACCCTCATGGAATCGAACACGGAAAACGGTACAATTAAGCACTACAAATGCAAAGGGATACTGAAACAACGGTGGTGTAAAGCAGCATCCCAACCCGGCATGCCGCAGCGGACTGGGTCGAAACTGCCTTCGCTCTGTCTTTGGGAGCTAGGTTCTGAGTGCATTGAAAGCATGAAGCCAACTTTGCCTTCACCTGACGGCCTGCCTGACTGCCTTGCGGCGGAGAGTTGTGAACCTGCCGTGCTTGCTGTGGCTTGCGATGTTGCGTCTGACAAGGAAAGATCTGGCGTGTTGTGTCGCCACCCCAGCTCCGGCGAGGTCTCTTGCATCATTGAAGCTGTTGCCGACGTGTTGACGTGTGCTTTCAGTAGTGTCAGTAGTGCTACGTGCAAATTAAGTCTTAATGTGCAACCAATCAAAAACAAACACACACACACACACACGCGTGGGATTTCGGCAGGAGCAAGAGGCAAGCAAAGACGAGGGGTGAGGCGGGTTAACGGTTATTGTTGAAAGAGACATAATGATTTTGATGATGATGATGACGACGAAAACGAGATGATAATTCTTTGGTGCTAAGTATGCCAGACCAAAGGAATGGCATACGAAAACAAGGTGAGATGATCCGTCAGGGGTAAGGTTTCTGCCCATTGCTACGCCATACACAAGGGAATGACGTAGCAGGAATTGAAATGAAAGAACGGTCCCGCCAGCTGCCCACGATGCGGCCCAAGCGCAGACCAATGCAGGTACGTTTTTCTAGGGTGCAGGCAGGGAGATTCATTGGACGGAGCTCCCCTGCATTTTTTCCTATGTGCTAAGCAGGTTCAAACACAAAAACAAACACACACACACAAACACACACAAACACACACAAACACACACAAACACACACACACACAACACACACAACACACACAACACACACAACACACCAACACACACACACACACACAGAGACAGAGACACACACACACACACAGACAGAGACACACACACACACAGAGACGCAGACAGACACACAGACACGCGCCCACGCATATTCAAAGTTCTGATGGTTGGCTTTGGTTACTTCGCAAGGGAAGGTTTGCTTTGCATGCTGTCTGTTGCAAAGTTTTGCAAGTTTGTGAAGCTTAAGAGGTTACGCGGAATTTTCAGTGTTTCACAAGCAAGCACAAATCCTCGAGCAGAAACCTTTCAGCATGAGTGCTCAGATCTGTAGGGAAGAGATGATGCCAAGGCCCACACGCCCGCCTCGACGCTCGGGGCTGGTCTTTGTGCGTGGAGAACCCTAGCTGATCTCGTAAGGTTTTGGTCGGGTTTCAGGGTTTGGGAGTGTGGGACGTGCAATGACCTACGTAAGTTCAGAGGTTGGAGGTCCAGAGAGTCAAAGATGAAAGGAAAGGCTTCTGGATGAAGAGGGCTTGGGGCAAAAGGACTAGAGCGATGGGCTCCCTCGGAAGCACTGAGGAGAAGTTGGAGGACCGGCTCCGTGCGTTCTTGTGCAGGTCAATTAGTCTTTCTTTTTTCCTTGTGGATCCTGTAACTCCGTCGGGGAATTGCATCCAAATGCGGCCCTGCCTTCGCTGCCGTTTTGCTCGAAGATCGGTCCACATGGACCGATTGAGGGTGTCGCCCAGAAGGAATAACTCACGAGCATCTCGGCTGGACTTTCCTAGGGTGGAGGGAGGCGTCACAATGTTTTTTGAGATTTCATGTTGAAACCTTTGAGGACATGGCCTTGAGCTCGGAAGATGCGATTGGTCGAAGCCCCACGGATGGGGACCGGGAGAGGGACCAACGAATGGATGATACGACCACAGCCATCCACCGAGTGCATGAAAGCCACTCGGCCATGTGTCGGGCTTCCGACTGGCAGTGCAGGGTCTTGTCATTTCCTGTGACGATTAAACCCAAGGCAATAGGCAACTCAAGCCGGACAGGGCGGACCCCTTCGGCATGCAGGCAGGTTTGCACGATGGATTTTATCATTGTATCCCTGACCCAAGAGCCCTCGAAGACCTGTCAACACGTGTAGCGAGCTCTTGCGCAGGCACGTTTGGCGATCGCCCGGCATCCAGTCTGTCCACTGCGAAGTCTAGCAGGTCGGAGCCCTGCGTGAACATGTCCCTAAATTACAGTTGTGCTGCCGGCCTTGCTCGCCTCTGTTGAGGACAGAAGGAGAAAGATAATTTTCAACTGGAGTCAGGCAGCGTCGGAGCTGTGTTTCCGCTTTCTGCTGTCGTCATCGAGTCATTCTAGTTGACTTCGAGATCTGTGATTGCCTGCCTAGCCTCCTGGCAGGAATACAGAACAAGGTGGAGGGTGACATGTCGGAAGCCTGTGCAGACATCAGGGAGTTAATGAAGCTGCTGAATGGCAAGGACCAAAGCTGCTTTTCAGAGCAGAACCAAAGAGTTCTCAGCATAATTCTATGTCCAGGATGAAAAGCCTGAGACTGAGACTGAGCGGAAGGAGCGGAAGGCAGGATTTTGGGCACATGGCCTGTTGGTCCACGGTGGCGCAGCGGCTTCGTGAAATCATCCACCCGTCTTCATTCCCTTCGCCAGGAAACGCTCAGGAAGCAGCTCAAAGAGTTTGTAGCATCTCGCTTTGAGACTTTATCTGGCCCCTTTGCTGTGCTGAACTTTGAGAGTTTGCTGAGAGCGTTGCGAGGCACACATGGAGAAACCCGAGGAGACTTGTCTCTGGTTGCTGCATGCGTACAATGTTGCAAGCTGGAACAGCTGTTTTTCCTTTGCGACATTCAGGACGTGGTCGGAAAGTTGTTGGAGGATAAATGTATTGATAGAGCGGCTGAGCTGACGGTCTTGGCCAAGATCTACAGCCGCATGGCTTCCAATAACCGCGGCTCTGTGCGCAAGTCTCAGGCTCTGCACCCTAACGCTAACGCGAGGTAAACTGTCAGACATAAAACTTGCGGCGGTGGAGGACTCAGACAAGCAGCCGCTTGTGTCCAGAAGAAGGGTTTGTCTTTGGGTCTCCTATGTTGCGAACTGTTAATCGAGGTGAGGCGCTGTGCAGCCTACCCCCGGCTGGTTGATTGGAAGGCCGTCGACGGTGGTTGGCCCCGTCCGAGTTCGGTTCTCACCCATGCGGCCTTGCACTTCAATCTGACCATCCATTAGGAAGCCTTAAAGTTGGGCAAACGTCTGTAGCCTGAAGCTAATGTACCGGATGCAGGGCAGGAGAGGGAGTTGTAAACAGGTGAGGTGCCGTTGCTTAAAGAAGCCGGGAACTAGGACAGGCAGAGCCATGAGAGGGCAGTGCATGTGCGAGGATCGAGAGTTGCTGCAGACGGACTCGAAGGTAAAGGTGGCCGGGCAATTCTTTCAGTTGTCGATTTTTCAAGACAGCACACAGACGGGTGCTTTTGAGAAATTTCTTGTGCATGGAAGCATTGCTGAGGCGAAGTATGTCCTCTATCCCATGTTCTTGTTCTTCTGTTGCTTTGCTCTGCAAAGCTTTCTGCTCCATGTGACAACAGCCCTCTACGTGCGGTACATGGACTGCCTGCATTCGCTGCTTACAAGTTGTGTAGGTTTTGAAATCCGAGTTCTTCTTCCAAGGCAGTCTGTCTGGCAATGCAAGACCGCTGCAGGAAGCGTGTGTGGTAGCTGCTGAGTCGCTGGTCGCTGGCAGGACCGTATCAAGGACGAGCTGGAAGAGTTGCATTTGCGGTCCAACCATTCCGTCGGCCTCTCCAAGGTAGAAGGCAGGGGAGCTGTGAGGCAAGCCCGGTGCACAGAGAATGGCAGATGCCTGGAGAGGTGGTGAAATGTTCGATCTTGTGTCACACCTGTTTGTTGCGACGAGCCTTGGACTGAAGTTCCATTCGAGCAGGGTTTCTGAAGCAGCAAGTGCGAAGAGCTGGATCGCCAGGCATGTATAACGTGCAGTTGTATTTGTCGCTTCATGCATGGGGGACCTTTTTGAGTCATTGCTTTGTTACCGGTTTCAGGGAGATGTGGCGTGCAAGTCTCGAGAATTTTGTGATCAACCAAGGGAAACGGGAGACCACGAGGCGGCGGCTCGTCTCAGCTCTTTTCGAAAAGTTCCTTATGCCTGCGTTGACAGAAGCCTCTTGAGTGCAAGGTCCGGGATGGCAACGTGAAGATCCCAATGTTTATTTTGGACCTTTCCGGCCGCTCGGCCTTTGGAGTGGAGTGAAGGATACCCGGTCCCTCGAGAGGCTGCAAAGCCTAGAGACTTAGAGTGCAGGCATCATTCCGGCCGGCCTTTGCGTGCAGAGCCCTCAGTTCTTGCCAGTGTTTTCTCCTGCGGCGATGTTTTGGATGACCAAGAGTTTAGCCTGAGGCTGACATTTGGAGCTTCAGCTTGGCTCGACCGATTCCACATTGGGCTGTGGTACAAGACCTTCCTTGTTGCCTGCTGTCTTCTGGCCAGCAGTCCGAAGAGACATGCAGCAGCTAGGCGCTATACCGGCCACCGACACTCAGGCATGGCAATCATGAAAGGAATCCTCGATCTTGTGACGGTCCTTCCCGATTCCATTGGCTGGAAGCAGTTCCCTGGCTCCATTTTGGGTCTAAGTTGTACAGTCCCGAAGCATTCCACTGAAGCCAGCTAGTAGAAAAACACCGGGACGGTGCTTGATCTGTTGATATCTGTTGCCTGCCCTGCAACTGACCTTCGGGATGCCCTGGAGCACAACTCCGGGCAAAGCACTTCAGATTCCAAGCGATCCCTTGCAGCTGAGGTGTCAAGCCCGGCTTGGCGATGATGCCCTGACGTCATCTTCTCAGTTGTGCGAGAGGTAAAGGGCTGGACCGCTTCCTCGCAGCCATTGCTCCTTTGCCTTGATGTCCCGAATACGGGTTGGTATAGATGAAGAGCCTGTGTTCTCAAAGCTCGGAGCGACGAGGCGATTGCGGAAACGTGCCTGGTTTAGCAACTTCTGGGCAACCTTGTGGCAGGCGGGTCTTGCAACAGCACGTTTCAGGAGAAACGAACGCCTGCCGTTGCTAAAACAATTGGTTTGGCGCTGTCCAGTGCCCGGATATCCGATGCAAGAGTGGGCACAGTGATGAGTCGAAGCAAAGCAGTGAGCTTTAGAAGTGTCAGCCGAGATAGGTGCCATTTCCCGGAGTGCGCTCAAAGGCAGATGCTACCGGAGTCGCAACGGGGTGGGTGCAATGCATGAGGCAATAATCGACGAAATCGTTGGTGTGGAGGGCAAACGCATGCGATATTGTGCAGCATCTTGGACATAGAGTAAAGTCTCTGTTTGTTGTCGGGTTGTGTTCACCGTTGCCTGACAGCCGTTTTAGCAGAACGTGAACTTTCTTGTTTCTGTGTCGTGGCAGCTCAACCCAGGACATGATGGTTTCTGGGCACACGCCCCCTGCCTGAATCTAGCCACCCCCCCCCTCGCCTGGCACATCACTGCACAGAGAATAACGGCCTACAAACTGCACTGATGGATCCAACATCTGAAGCTGTTAATGAGAGACTGAAACGACCGGTGAATCAAGATACTTTGCGGCCTTGTTCTCCCTTGCGGCCTACAAGCTGACGGGTGCGGTGGACTTTCCTCTTTGGGACACCTAGCTGCACATCGGCTTTCGAGGCTTGGGGATGGTGTCGATATGAGTGATTCTGAGGGCAATCAACACAACCACAGTAGTGAACAGACCGCCAGCTGAAACAGGACTAAACGGACGAAACTTTCTTAACATGAGCAACAGCAGTCATCTGAAGATGTCAACACTGGTGCCAAGACTAGCATTGTTTTGGTGGGCTGCTAATCCTGGAGTTTCAGTGGCTCAGTCTTTGCGCAAAGGAGGTTTGCAGCACTTCGTTTTACGCATGTCATGTGATGCCATATAGACTCCAGTTTCAGAGCCGGATAGTGCTTCTGCTCGCCGATACCAGCCGAGGCGCAGCGCTTGGTGGCTGTCCTGCAGAAAAGGATTGGGTTCTTCTCCTCGCTAGGAGATAGCATAAGTCGAAAGAGTCCAGAAGCTTGATTCTGTTCCACCACGGAGAAATGTTTGACGACCTCCTGATCCTCCTCCTCCACTCACTCACTCACTCACTCCTCCTCCTCCTCCTCCTCCGACTCTTGCCTTCCATTTGCTCGCGTGCTAGCGAGCAAGCTTTCAAGCTTGGCCTCTCGTGGGTAGCGCTGCCTAAGACAATCAAGAGAATATGCAAAGAGTGCAGCAAGCACCGCTCCGAAGAGCCAAGCTTTCGGCCATCGATCCACCGGGTCGCTCCAGCACCGGCCGCACTGTCCTGGCCACAGCCAGACAGGGACGGAAGACTACGATGCAAGGTTCACCCCTTCGTCCTGACTCATCAGCACATGACCTGAGTGTGAAAAGAGAGGGAGGAAACATCAGCGCCACAAGAAGCGAGCACTAGCAGGAGCACGATCGTGTTTCTCGCCATTCAAGCCATCACTGTCTAGTTCTCGCACCTGAAATCAAACCACTGCTTGTACCACCACCAGCACCAGCACCAGC